TATATATATATATATATATATATATATATACTGTACATATACATATATACATATATACTGTATATATATATACTAATTTGAGGTAAATGTTTTCCATGTAATATATTATTACCATATGGCATAATCTTAAAGGTACGCATAATGTGATTCAAGTAGGACATGTTCGTAAGTGAACATTCTATACCATCAAATCATCCCATAAAATCACAGTCCTAACTCTTACCTACTACTAAAACCATGGTTTATGAAAATGTTGTTGAAACCAAACTCCAACCTTATCTATCTGATCATATCATATCCTATCATCAAGGATATTGAACTAGTAATGTGTCCTACTGGGTTAAATCATGTTAAGCTTGAAAGTACAGCAGGGAAACTTAATTATGAGCACAAAATTACATTTTTGGTGGAAGAAACCTAACATTTTAAATGTGAAGAAAAACCTGGCTGTCAAGAGGTCACTAGAGCCACTAAATTTAAGTGACTATACATGTAATTCTACTCTATAGCGGTTTTGATACTGTGTTTCACAATTATTGTGTGTGTGTGTACAGTATATATACCTGATTCTGTTTGAGTGTTGACACTAGTTTCTGTAGGGTGATGTTCTCCTCCTCCAGTTCAGTGTAGTCCTGCAGCAGTCTGGCCTCTCTGAACTTATACTCTCTGATTTCCTCTCTCATCCTGTTCCTCTGTAGCTCTAACATCTCATTATTCTGAAAGAGAGAAAGGGAAGGACAACAGAAAAAAAACATGAGTCCCTTGGCTGTTTATCCATTACCCCATTTCAGAACAAAGAATGCTTGACAAAATCCGCTTGTTAAAGAGGTAAGAACAGCATTGATGTTCTGGACAGCATAGTTTGAAGGGTCTGTCTTCTCCAAAGAGGCAAAGCAAGTTTTTAGCCAGTTCAGCCAGTTTTCAGCAACGATTTAGTTTGTTTAAATTAAAACTCAACCTCTGTAGCTGTGATAAACATAACACAGAGAATTTTATGACTAATGGTCTAAAAAGAAGATAAATCTTTTATTTTAATCAAATAAAATAAGCAGTAACCCATATCTATTGAAGGACTCCTTATTGTCATTATAATGGTGGTATGAGAAATGAAAAAGAAAAAGAAAAAACATCTATTAAGAGCCTCCTGTTTGTCATTACTTTGGTGTTATGGTGAGTATGCCATGATGAATCTTTGTAAGGAATCTATAAAAATCCATTAGCCTTACATTATAATAGCTTTGTATCTGTGAGTCAGAGTCTAAGATGATACTGAGCTTGTCAACACTTGAGCTGACAGGAATGCTGGGTAACAAATTGCTTTCCTTTAGAGGAAACCCTCAAGTCAGCACTTTCTTCCTCACAGTTCAATCTATACGTGAAAGCCGAGACAAAGGCGTTTTTAACAGCTGAAACAGAATGTTTACAAGCAAGATTACAAAATGTTGCATACGTCGTAATGTGTCTGATAATGTAGCATTAATCTATATAACAGTGAGTCATAATAAGTGGCTAAAAGGTACCTCTTTATGGCTTTCTACCGAGTTACCAGCCCTGATCTTTAATCATAATGCCTCGTACAACTGTTTGTGCCAGCATTCACAATGTAGTAAAACTTTGGAATACTTAAACCATTCTTCAAGAGCAGGTCACAAGAAAATCACAATAGCAGAGAAAACCCCCCACCGTAGCACAAACTGGGCGGATTTGCTGATGAAGAGTCAAAGGTGTGGAACAGACATGGGAACAGAGCCAACCTTGGGAGAAACCTAGATGCTGATTGGGCAGTAAGACAAACGTGTAGCGCACAGCATATTTTAATTATCTCAAGACCACATGTTTTATTTACAGTTATTTACACTAAAAGTTTGGGGTCAGTAACGTAAATTAATACTTTACTTTAAATTGGTAAAACGTGACAGTAAAAAAATATAATATTAAAATAGATTTTTATTTTGTTTTATACTTTCTATTCATTAAAGAATCCTTAAAAACATAACGATTTCCACAAATATTTTAAGCGGCACAACTGTTTTCAACATTTATAATAATAATAAATGTTCTTGAGCGCCAATCAGCATATTAGAATGATTTCTGAAGGATCATGTGACACTGAAGACTGCAGTAATGATGCTGAAAATTCACCTTTGACTTCACATAAAATATAATAAAATAGAAAACAGTTATTTGTTATTTTAAATTGTAATAATATTTCACAATATTACTGTTTTTACAGTATTTTTGATCAAATAAATGCAGCCTTGGTGAGCATTAATCTTTATATATATA